GGAATGACCATCGGGGCAGCTACATAGGTAGACCTAGTAAATAAACAAGCAAAAACATAGCTTTTTTGATAATTCGAAACCTCCAGTTCCTTTTCAGGTCATATCACTACTCATTAAAGAGCCGTAGCGTTCACGTTCTAGATCAACCACGTGTTCGTAGGAATTTCTTATGTACTTGTTGTTATTCGAACGTTACTGAGCCATGTGATATGAGGCACTGCGTCCAACGACAAAAATAACACTAATACTTCCGATTATCATCGACCGACGTCTGGAGGATGAACTTTTGTATGTCTAACGATGACGCGGAGGAAGGCATCAATATAAGGTCGTTCAGCTTACATAATCAGGTAGTGCAATTATCCAGGATTCATTCCGCAATAAACGATTCTTAAATAGGCTTATCAGAGATCAGCAGATGTGAGCAAGTAAATTCTGAGAAGTGAATGTAAAGTGGATCCTTGGAAACTAATTGATTTTTTGAAAAAAATTGATCTACGTAGAGCGAACTGTGCTTGAATATTGCAATTGTGAAGATTATGATTTCGTTATAAGGTGCTTGGACCCTAAGAGTTTATTCATTGAGAACTCGAAGAAACCTAGACTGTTTGAATGTCCTGTGCAACTAACATATATCGTTGTATTTTGTGTTCGTAATCGATAACTATAATATCTATACAGAAAGAGCACTACAACGTACTTCCATCGTGTTGGGGAGCTGGATATGTGTGAGGCTACGTCCCTAAATGGCTAGTAGTGTTAAACCGCAACCACTTGCAACCATGTAAACATTTATCCGCTTTATAATGCCGATAGATTACGGTGATTGGCTGCTTTTTTCTGCCGCATTGTTTAACTTATACCTTCCTATACACGAAATGCTATCCACGAATGTATGTGTAGGAGTGTTTTCATGTAACTGGTTTGTGCTCTGAATGTCGATTATAATGGAATAACCTTAAAGTATACGTGAGGTGCGTCTCCACACAGGACCCACGCCTCCGTTCGAGGATAGTCCCATGCCCTACCCATGAGTATTCGAAATTTCCTCTAGTAGATCCCGGCAAGATGCCTGTCAGCATTCTTTCACCGAAACTGCTGAGATTGAAGAATCTCAAACAAAAAGTAAGATGCACTTCGTGTAGCGAACGTCGAGGGGCCAATGGGCAGCTGTGGCAAACGCGAGGGGGCGGCTGGAAATTCTTATTGCGGCGCACTGGAGTCCTGGACTCACTCATTCCATGATTGACGAGACCACGAGCAGTACAGATGTAAAAAACTACAAGTTAAATTTTCACAAGTCTCGTTTTTCAACAGATGCACTACAGAGGTCTAGTACTGCATGAATGACGGAATGAGATGACATTGCATCTGTTCAGTTTTGGTGTTAATGACGTGTACGTCGTCGAACGAGCTCAAAATATTCAGCTAGAACTTTTTGCTACTGTTCATTGATATTCACCCTGATTATCCGATACTTCTTATCGTCTCGGTTGTTCATAAGTGAACTCGTTTAATGACGCGAATATTCCGACAGGTTTTCGTCGTAACCGTCGTAAAATATGCTTGTGTGATGACAATGATCTCGCACGGGGCAAACCGGGCGGCTAGTCGCACTCTCTCTGTGTCAATAGTACGCATATGAATAAATTCTGTTAATGTGTGGAATGTTAGTGGAACGAAACATTTCTGTGGATGAAGTACGACGGAGAGCTATATTTAGTTTCTTTGGGTGAATCTCTGACTGTTCTCCGCAAATCCAATTAATAGAATGTTGTTTGTTGTTGTTGGTCGTTTTCGTTGTTGTCGGTGTAGCTGTCGTTGTTGGCGAAACCGCCGAAACGTCAGACATCGACCAACAACAACAACTACAACTACAACTACAACTACAACGACTTGTACCAACCTCGCATCAGCTCAACAAGGGCAGTTCATAAGAACATGTAAGTAAATATATCGATTTTTTATGCTGTAGCTTATAGAAAATCGGTCTTTTGAGTTAATAGATTGCCGTTAATGCTCTGCATTATGCAGTATTATATTTCATTATTATCGTACGCAAAATTCAACGGATAAATGCTGGCAAAACGATCATCAAATCTCAGGGTTACGGTTTTTGAGATCGACTACGGCGTTTTGTCTTATAATTCCTTCTTCTTCCAAATTCTTATGGTGTCAGGCAATCCAAACGTGCATTTGTAGAGTTAAAGATTTTCGTTTGACCAGGACTTGCAGGTACTCCAGTCGGACTTCATATGAGCAAAAAATTGAAGAGAAAATCTGCTGTTCTTAGTCCGTCTGACCGTATCACAGCAGACGATGATAGTAGTAGTAGTTCGATCGTATGGATTAGAATTTCGCTTAATCTCAACTAAATCAAACGATGTTTTCGTTTGAGTGATGGGAGAGATAGGCGGAGAAGAATCTAGGGAGGAAAGGAGAGTCCCTTGCCAACAAGTCGTTCTCGTACCCGTCGTATACCATACTACGAGAGACCAGTGATCACAATGTGAATCGTCCGATTTCTGGTGCTTTTGGGGTGTTTCGTGCTTGACACGAACCTGCTGAAGCAACCATGCGCTGAAAGTTTTCCAGTTTTCAATCAGATGTCCTCCATCGCTCTTTCCGCTCCGTTGTGAATGTTTCTACTAAACAATGAAGTTTAGATACCACTTAGGAACTGGGAATAAGGAGTAAAGGAAAGGAAAAGAAGCAAACGAAAGAACCATGCTGGTAAAGTCCATTCCAAAGCATGTCGTTCTTTTTTCTCCGAGACATTAGTCGAAATCTGGTGTTTAGTGTTTGAAACATAGCGCTTTTTTCTCTGAGATTTTCTTATATACGGGTAACTAAACTGTGAAGCTCAAATAAATACAAAATTGTTTACAAAGTATTATTTAAATGATCTCTTAAACAGTTCACTAAAAATCTGAAAGAGGAATTTCATGGAACCCTAGCTGTCCTAGCAACAACCACTTTCATAGCGCAGTAGGTTCTCAGATCATTCACGTCTTCTGTTGACAATTCTGTAAGCATTATTCCATACAGATCACCATTTGCGCTATTTTTTCTCGATTCGGTTCCTACATTAGTCGTTCACTATTGCGTGAGTCATTTCCAGATGTCTTAGATTTTTCCGTCCTCCACCCACACAAGTCCACCACCTTGTATAAGTGATGAGAGGTTGAAGTTCTCCGAATGAGTCATGTAGTCAGTAGCTTGCATAGTAGAACGCCTGTACTCTCGTGGATCGTCTTGTTGATTTGTGTCGATTTTATTTCGGTTGTATGCTCGTCATAACGTTGTCATCGTTCTCCAGCCGACCGACCGACCGACCGACCGACCGACCGACCGCTTCCCACCCACCATCGCTCTCTCCCTTCTACTCGGAATTCGCCAGCATCGGCCTATAGGATATGTACGCATGCAGCGGTGGGAATACACTGAAGTGCTCCTGAACTCCGCCCAATGATGCTATATCGATTCATGTTTTGTAGACCTATGCGTAGTTCAGATGATCTGTCTCAGATATCATGAGAGGACAATACGAAAAAATAAACGACCAATCGTATTTTTATGCTACTGTATAACAAGTGGAATAGAATGGACTGAGACTGATTGGCTTGCGTTACATTGTCAAGTCGTGGATGAGTGTCTTCTGCTAAGTGTAGTGGAGACATCAGTTGTACGCATGGAATCACATTATGTCGATTTCAGTAGTTCATATCATCCACGATCTAGCATGTACAGTATCGATGCCGAAAATTGGTGCTACCGTAGCATTTCTCTGCGTAAAGAGTTAATTGGTCATCAGTAGGACATGTTCGTTGGCAATTTAGACGAAATTGCAAACCGTGGCTCAATTCACTGCAACTGTTTCTTTGTTTAGAGTTGTTTTTGTTTGTTGATGCCTTGCCGATGCTCTTTCTGGTCGAGCGTATTGTTTGTTATCCGCGCTCCTTCAACGTAAATTCGTACACGGATTTGGAAAACATGCTTTGTTCGTCGTTTGAGTGTCGAATATGAAGATGGATATCAGCTGTATAAACATCAGAATTCAAACATCATTCACAACACGCTCGGAACTTCCACCTGTTCTTTGGTCTTCACATTTCAATTAACAATAGGCTTCTAGCTTACACAAATCCTTCACGATTTGAATCCCACCCTTTTTTGGCTCACTAAACAAGGATATTTGGCCCATTTTGACATAACCAAGTTTTTAAAATACTTATAAAATACGTTGCGTTTATACTTGAATGAAGTTTGATCTCTATTCTACACTCATGCGTATGGGTAACTAATGTGATGTCTAAGAACCATTTAAGTTCTCTCTTTTGTCCTGGAAGCTTTAAATCTTCGTTGAATGAAACTGTCTAGGTTTTCAATCAGTCTAAAAGTCATTGTTCCGGAATTCATCTCTTTAGGCCAGTTCAGATTATGGTAATGTCATTATGACTGAAAATGGCATATTTTCCAACATACGGACTTTTGTTCCCGTTGATTGAAAAAGATGATATGTTGACTCATTTAGTGCTGCTCCTCTAAAGAATAACACGATCTCGCAATTTTATCGTTTGTTTTCGAAGTTATATCCATTTCTCAGGTCATTTATCATGGTTTTTTCAGCCCTACCGAACACCTCTTATGAAACTACGTCTTTGTTTTCACAACTTGAGCATCTAAACTTTTCAAATTTTGCGAAACTACAACAACGCCTGGTGCTTGATCGAAGCTACTCACGTTGTGTACTCACTATCTTCTTCCATCGGCCACTTCTGACGACACGACGTCACCACTTTCATAACACCGGTATCTAAATCTTATGAATTTCACTCAACTACCGCATAGCCTGCTGCTTGGTCAAAACTACTCACGTCGTTGCGTACTCACTAGGCTCGTGCTTGCTTTTCACCTCGATGCAGCACCAGCAGCAGCTTGTGCGCCCTCGTTCTCGTAGCCGCCCTCTTACTACACATGAGCACTCACTCTATCGGCTTCTACGCCTTCGCTTTCACATTTCCACACACTCGTCGGTTGTCAATATTCGTATAGCCGACCAAGCAGGCCCAAGCCAGACAGACACGAAGCTGGTCAGTGTCCTGCGCTGGAATCGATACTTGAAACGACGCCAATGCCACGCCTAACAAGAAATACACGATTAAAGGAACGACAATACGGCCGTAGTCGACGAAAAATAGGAGTCGAATATACGACGATAGCTGCCACATATTACCGTCTTCACCATTTACCGTAATCCTACTACCGTAGCTGGAGATCTTTAACTTCTTTAACATTCACTATAGATATGCTTAATGTTGTTATGCGCCCATTTGTTTCAGAAAAAGCCTGTCTATCTAGTTCGGTGATGGGAGGGGTGAAAGAATAAAAACCCGTCCGTGAAATCCACTTGAAACTACTGTCGTAAATCATTCGGTTAACCCCGGTTAAGGATTTTTAAGCGAATTTTCATGTGGCGAGTAATTCTTCAGACTTCTTTCATTTAAACCCGTCGTATGTGATCTAGTCGTATCTCTTCCTTTTCATGGTTCGGTTACTTTCAATTCGTTCTAAATCTATCCTTTCATCGTATTTTTGTTGAGCAAACGCGAGCTGTTATTTTCATTCCTTATTCACGAATAAGCTGACGTTTCGGCGGATTTCGCCTTCCTCAGAGCCTGGAAAGGTCAAGTTGATAGCAATCTACTCGGCCAGACGCCTCCATAACCAAACTATCCTTTCATCTTTACAACTAGAATCGCTTCCCTTATTTCTACTTCATGATCATAAATGCCTCCTTCTTTTTCTGTGATCCTCACTGAAGTCCTAGAATGAAAGGCCACGTTTCCGCGATCGAAGTTCGAATTCCGAGAAATCTTTCATGAACCCCGTAGCCTGCCACGATCACCACAACCACTCGCTCCGCCTTCGTTTTCGAATCAATTTACAGCTGCGCTCGTATGTTGCGAATTCGCACTATTGGCTCGAAGTGCAACGTATCTATACACCCCTACGTACCTCGTCGACCACTTTGATCAGTATGTCTTTTGTTCGTGGTCGTCTACTAAATACTTCAAGCAACGCCCTTACTTTACTTACCAGTCTGCTGCTCACCGACTGCTTCTTAATCGCTACGACGCATTTCTGTTCCTTTATGAAGTCTGAGAGCGAGTTTCATGTTATTCATCTACTAAGCTCCGAACCATTGCGACTCTTTACTAAGACTCTTTTAGTTGCGGAAAGCATACTGTGTATAAATAGGAACCGCCGCATTGTCGATGAGGGCTGCTGCACTTGCACTTTTCCGCACAGTGCTGTCTGACGTGGAATGTATCACATTCTGATTTTGAGTTTTGTCGGCGTTCAAGAGTCGCATTTTTCTCTTTTATGTGGGTCTTTCAATGCGTTTGAGCACTAATCTGTTCTACCGACGTTCTCTACTAGTCATTGGCTCCGCTGAAGAATTACAATGACCGCGTTGTTCTGTTTGTGGTAATCTGCGTTCGAAAACTAAGTGGCAGCAGTTGGTTGTTGTCACTAAAGATCTCCGTCCTCCTTCAACGGTCCGTTAGTTCCCGTAGTTACTTTTACGTAATATCAACTGCCACTAGTCGGCGATTGGATCCTGCTAGTCGCGGAACCAGTTCACTATGTGGCGCTAGTTAGACGCCATCACCAACCATTGCCGTCGTCGACGGTATTGGTATATTTGACGATCGTATTTCTTGCCGCTTCTCGTCTGCGAACGAAAACAAAGACCGCAATATTTCCGAACACGACGTAAATTCTAACCTTGCCTGTTCGTAAGGTCAAGATGTTTCCTGGAATTTTGTCTGTGTTGCTGGTGATTGTTAAAGGGTTTATTAGTTGTCGACTTACTTATTAGTGAACTGCGATAATATTTCATAACAAAATCCATTTAATTTATTGCACCACTTGGAAAAAGTGCACATGCCCTGCTGTAGCTGCAAAATCTTTCTCCAGTGATACGCGATACCATGTAATTTGAACCCGCCAAGTTCAACTGTCCTCTGTGCCCTGACTCCATCAGTGGTCTTGTTCCACCAATATTTTGTTCAGCCAAAGCCGTTGCTTGTTTGTTTGCATGTTGTTTTGGTCGTCGTGTTGCTGGGTGGTGACTGGTTGCTATCTGCATGCTTGCCTGCATGTCTCGCCTCCACACTTGCTTCCTCTCCTGCATTCCTACACCATCCGCAGCAATCTGCTACTATAGTATTTTCAGACGCACATTCCCTCAAAAGTACTCTTTTACAAGTAAAAGTTGCCGACGGTATAGAAGACAAGCTTTAACTCTTCAGCGATCTCATCTTATAGCGGCAACCGTTTGATAATCCATGCTAGTGCAAAAGTGATATCTGGCGGGCGTCTTCGACACGTCTCTTCGGTCTGAATGTTATGGAGTCTCTCTTATGCTTTAAACATTTTAGACGAACTAACTTCTACTAATAACTTGGTTTCTTGGAATTCCAACATCCTTTACATATGCTTATCTACACTTCTTCTTCTTTAAAGTGCTTAAGATGTCGCGTTCTGTTTCTTATGTTACTGTGTTCCTTGTCACATTTGTACGTGGAAGGTTTTCGGTACCCTGCTCACTCTTTTTCGCATTTCTCCTTCTGTGCAATAGTTATCAGTATCAGTTGAATCTGCAAAATGTGTTGCAGGAATGAGTTGACTTTCCCAACGGTCTCCTCGGCTGGGTTCAGTCGCGTCTCCACCATAGCCACCACCATCATCATCATCGTCGACATGGCGTTCCAGCATGTTTTCCGATCAATAAAATCGATGATGCTCGGCTCAGATTATTGAAACAATACCATCATAATTCACGTCGAGGTCGGTTTCCAATTCGTAATTGCACATGTGAATTGTCCAACTTGAACAATTTAAGAAAAGAATCTTGAAGTTATTTCTTTTAGAACTTCTCCGCCGTCAGGAAATTGTATTAAACGTGATTGAAGCTTTTTGTCAGTTCTCGTCTGTCTGCACATTCAAGACCAGTTCAGTCTTTCTCATTTCGCCACCACCTCGTGCTATGGGAGAAGCAATAGACGAGGCTGCGTTACTAACACTGTAGTTATACCGTAGTTTTTAGACGGTGGAAAAGTTTATTTTTTGTGTAGTTTTAGTCAGGCAAAGTCAGTAATGATGTTAACACACGTGGTATATTTATGATACAGTGAGGTTATGCTGATCCAGAAACCATTCGGTTTTATGCCCTTTCTTACACCTTTATGGATATTCGAAAGAAAATGGGAAAAGAACAAAATTCTCTGCCCTCTGTGACTTCTTCGCAATGTATATACATGTAGATCTTCTTTAGATCTAAAGTCAGTTTAGTTTTAAACTGAAGAAATGATAAGCGTTGTAGTGAAGTCCTTCACGATTCAGGCAATTCTTGTCGCCGTCGTCATCAATAGCGCCATTTGTCGCCGTTTGCGTAGTTTTCGTACTCATTGTTGTTTAATGGCTGTGAGTGAGACGGAGAGGGTGCTAACAGCTTCACAATCCGTCAGATAGAGATTTTCATCAATTATTTGCTGCCACCGATCAGTTTTATCGCATCCACTTTCTACGGACATCTTAGTTGTCAGACGTCTTCGACCAGTCAGAAATTTGAATAAAAACGATTATTCCGATCTTTTGAATTCCAAAATTCTCAACTGATATTCCATTCCATAGTCGTGCTATATGATCTTCATCAATATTACAAGAACTTTTAGTTTCGTCGCGGCTAACACAACAAGCGGCTGCATGCCAAATGGTCTTTCGTAGACCCGTGTATGGTCCGTATTTCCTCGTGACGTGCTCGTCCGCATTGGTACGCCAACTCGCTACACCGTGCTTTCGTCGAACGCAGACTTCTACGGCAAGTGGCTGCAACTGAACTACCCCGTGCTTTCAACCCCGTTAACAACGGACAACCCATGTTTTCTTTCCGCTATGCAACATTTTTTTAAAATGTGATTGCCTCAATTTTATACACTTAATTTTCTATGCTCCACTTTGTTTCTGCACCAGCACCACCGCTTCTTAAAGTTCTCCATCTTCATGATTGTGGCACCATCAATTGGTAATCGTCCTGGGTATCATCAGAAATTTCTACCAATACGGTTCCACGATTATCTAATAATCACTAAGATACCAGTTGTCTTTCGTTTATGGCTGAGTGCTTCTAGTTTTGATGATGGATGTAGGCCCCGATGTGTTTTATAGGATGTGTCATTTGTGAAGCTCCACCGTCATTTTGTAAGAAAATGCCGGTGTATGGTCGCCACCCAGTGATTACCGCCCGCGATCGAGCTTCTTCTCCTTTTCTTTTTTTTCCTTAATTTTATGTTTTACGATTTTCTCATGCTGGACAAAGATGACACTGCCTTCCACTGTTCCGCGAAGACGGGTACCGCATACGACCAACGACTGCGTACAATTGCGTACCGTTTGCCGGCTAATCAAAACATGGCAATTACTGTGCACCATAGGGGGAGGGGCGTGACTTTGTCGCAAACATTGCATAGTTTTTTGTGTTTTTTTTCCTCTGCAGACTTTCTTCTAATCACATTTGTGCCGGCAAACTGAGCGCATCGCAACGCGTCCAGGTCAGGATTAGCGGGAGGCACTGTATTCACCAGTATTCGACGACAATTTACCATCATACTCCTATTACCCGTATACGAATACCATATGCTATTCACTCCATGAGTTAGTTTCAATGTTTAGCTGGCCTGTTCGTCACTGACCGTCTTTCTATAGGTATTCTGATTAGGTCATGTTGGCAGCGGCCATATTGTGCTCTTGGACGCACCTACTCCGTATACAGTAGTCGTTTTTTTGCGCTGTGTATCTGATCTGTAAGGCGCGTACCGTATTACCATTCAGCACCGCACTGCCACGTGTATTTATCCTCAATTTAATCGGATTTAACCTCATGATTTTATAGAATAAAATTGGAAACAGAGACTTCGTGTTGTGCTATATGAAGAACTCAAAAACACACGAACGCACACAAATATAAATACCAAAAATAGCACATAGAAAATAGCACACACATAAAATAGCACTATACACATAGAGTATCCAACCCATCATGTTTCACTCGATATGTGGTCGTCGACTAATCGCGGAAATCGCAAGCTTTCAAAAAGAACCACAGACGAATGCAGCAAGCTTTCCATCAATCCATGAGTACCTGCTTAGTAAAGACCTACGGAAATCCCATGCACGGTAATCTATGGATTACATGAAAAATCATCATTCCTAGCCGGTATTCAACACGTCAGTGAATAGGGTAAACCACAGATGTTCAAACAGCAGTCGAGAAAGCTGTGAACTCCAAAAGAGTTTGTGGATAACGATTGAACATGACAGCAAGACGACAGAGCAACAGGAATAAAAATTTGGAGTCTAACTTGAACAAGACCTTACATGGTCGCTCTACTGTTGATATTGTTTTTCAAATGTTATTTGTCGATTTTCTTGGTTTGAACTTACCAAAGTACAAATAAGTAAGTTGTTCTCTTAAAGTATTTTAAGGTGAGCGGAGCAGCACCCACCAATATCGTGAGATTCAGGAGCTTAGTACTTCATCATAGTAGAATTGTTATGTCTGCTGACGAAATTGTGTACAGTTCAGAAATATTCATTAAAATTAATAGAATTCATAACTGACTTAGAATTTTGTGGTGAAAAGTGAAAGCTATCATTATTACCAGCTATGTTTCACTCATTTATCGGTCAAGTTACTGTAATCTCGATGCTCGCCATCTGTATCGACCATAACCCTGAGAAACATAGAGTTTTCCGAGCGAGTAGCAGTGACATTGAAGTCTGCATTCATTCCCATATTACCAGTCAAAACTGACCAGTGGGCATTGATCACACGATGAACACGAAAATTAATATATTAACCGTATTCGTCTCTCCTTCACTTAATAATACTTAGGAAAGGAAAACCGAATGGGTTAATTGTAGAAATCGATGTATCTGGTCAAAATTCTCTTTAGTTCGTGAACTGGTAGCAAAGGAGCATCAAGAAAACTATTTCTCATGGATTCCACTTTTCTAGAGCGCATTGTGCCACCACTGAATGTGCAGAAGGAAATTTGTTCAACACTGGCCGTCGTTGCGATGGATTTTGCCTCCTTCAGAGCTTGTAAAGATGGTATGGATCGTTTCTAGTACCTGTGGTGACAACGTGGGGATACTCTGACGCAGCTATCCCATGGTTTCACAGAAGACCGAGATCAAACAGCATCGTTTCAGTGAGCACGGCAGATCCTCAACATGTAGATTATGATGATGGCGAGACAAAAAAACCAGTAGAAATGCTGAGTAATGTATATTAAGCAAAGGTGGGCCACATAAATGTTTTAAATTAAATTATTTTCTTTGTTATTCCGAATGCACTTCATGACAACAATGTATAACTTTTATCTACAACCGATTATTTTTGTTTACGGCAAGTTATTATGTGAAATACAACCACAATGATGCGAGATATTTGCAGAACTGGGATTCCACAACGGCGCTAACCGCTATTACCCTTTTCGGTGGTTCACGCACTACCCACTGTACAACTGAGGCCGTCGTTCTGTCCTGCTCTTATCCAGCTTTTTGCTCTAACAGTGGCATGAGCATTCACCCATATAGCAATATTTCACCGTCATGAAGTCTTTAGCATAACATCCATCCAGAATTAATCAATATTTTATTCATTTAAGTCGCTCATCAAATGACACGTATTCAATGTGCTAAAGTGGATAATCTTAAATAGAGAAGAGAATGAGGACTTGAGCTTATATAATAAAAGTAGAAAAGGACAAGGTGGTAGATTCGTCATACGTCTTTAGATGCAACCGAATGCATACCTGGCCTTTAAAATTAGTTACGGTAGCCTACCGATGTATGCAGTTAGTTCACAAGATCAACTTTCTATTAAGCTCTGCAGTAGACTATAAACATCCCGTTTTCGTTGCCAGCAAACGCGTGGTTGTTATTCAGCATACATTTACTTTCGTACACATAGAACACATACAATCCAACGGTAGCTGACGTTTCGGCAATATGGCTTTCTTCAGAGCCTGGAAAGGTATACTGATACGTAATTTACTAGGTGAAGCGCTTCAGCAACACACTTTTGTTACTTCTGCTAGCTACTGTTGTACTGCATGTATTCTTTCTGTACGAAATTAAACGTGTTCTGGGTAGCGACCTCGCGATTGCTGAAAAAGAAAGCGAAGTATATGACGTTAGTGTTGCTCTCTTCCCAGACATGATTTACACTGATTCATCGATCTCGGAGAGATGGAAGACTTGGTGAACCTGAGACACGGGATTGAACCAGAGAACTGTTTATTGCAAAGCATCTCCAACTACTACACTACATGTGTATTGTGCAACAGCCTTATCTCTTCATTGAAGCCGAGAAGAAAAGTGTCCACTAATAAGAGAATTTCAGCATAAATATCTAAAAACGTCTTTTTCATAAGGTCTACGTTAATCCTTATTTGAAAGTGCTTCTTTATTTTTCGAACGATAAGGACTATTTTATCACAGAAATCTATTGTAATTCAACGACAGAACCGTTCTATCGCTACCCGATATCTTTTTCGCTTTTTTCTTTCTTTATGGGATGCATGTCTGCGTTCAAATATCGGGTCTACAGTATCCGCAAATACAGTAATCCAAACAAGTTGCCAGTCAGCGCACTGATCATTACCTAGTGTTACTACACGCGTTTTAAAATCTGTTTGTAAGTTAGTGGT